TCGGGCAGTTGTCGCTGCTGCTCGTGCGAATCGAGCACGTCATCGTCTACTGGGGTTTCCGCGTCACGTTCTGCGGTCGCTGGCTGTCCTGCAGGCCTTTCTCCACCTCGTATCGGGTAGCTCCGCTCCTCTCCGCCCCACCGCCGATTCCTCGTCCGGCACAAGCTGTCTGGCCACCGGCACGTTGCGTTGTCGGCCGCCGCCCTCAGACCGCGACGTGCCTCCAGTTTCTCTTCGCCGAGCCGTTACTGCCGCCGGTTCAGCCGTCTGGCTACCATCGCCCCCCCCACTTTCGGCTACTACGGTCATCGCCGGTGGCCTCTGTATCGTATTTTCCGACTTCTTCTTCTGCTCATCGCGACGCCGCTCGGCACCTCGGGGCATTGTATGTCCAAGCGCGTCTTGCTCCAGTGGCTGTTGAAACCGTACTCGGCGCTGCGTCTGCTGCCCGTCTCGCCCGGCTGTTTGTGCGGGTTTTGCTGCCTGGGACCGCTGCCCATCGCTTCGCCCATTCATAATGCTCAGAGCCGCTTCCAGACGTCGCTTGGCCGCCCTTGTGAGTGGTCGCGTAGGCCCTATTTCCGCCGCTTCCGTACGACAGTCCCACACCTTTTCGAGTTGGCGAGGTCGATTGTCTTCGCGCGCCTTCCCCAGCCGCATCGACTTATCGACACCATGCGCCTTCTCCAGTATGGGCAACGCCCGAACCAGTGGTTCACCTTTGGTAGTGACGCGCGTACTTTCCTCCACAATATCCTTGACCTCCAGTACTATTGTCCCCGCCGCCTCAGATTCGGCAGGCGCCGACCCGGCCGCATTCGCCACCACGTTCGCCCGACTGGTCGGTGCCCGTTCCACTTTGCCTTCGTGACTCCTACCTGCTCCCGCCCGTACACCACTCGCCGTTGGTGCGTCTCCCCCTATAGCCACCCGCTGACGAGAACGTCGCCGCCGCCCGAATGCTGCCGCCACTTTTGCCGGTGCTCTCGACAAGGCGTCAGCCACTACATTCGTGCTTCCTGCAGTTCACCGTCTACGGTGAACTCAAACTCCGGCAGGGTCAAGGCCCAGCGGTGCAACTTGCCAGTCAAATTAGGGCTGGTCATCAGCCACTTTAAGGCCGCGTGGTCGGTCACGATTGTGAACGTCCGCCCATACAGATACGGCCTGAATAGTTTAATTGACCAAACTACCGCCAAACACTCAAGCTCCGTAATGCCGTTGTTTGACTCCGTGGGACTGTTGACCTTACTGGCGTAGGCCACCGGTTGCCACCCGTGTCCATGGTCTTGCATCAAGCAAGCGCCCAATCCGACAGTACTTGCGTCCGTTACCACACGAAATGGCAGCTTAAAGTTGGGATAGACTAGTAGCGGCTTGGTCGTCAAGACCACTTTCACCAGCTCAAACGCAGCCTCTTGCGCCACTGTCCATTCCCACGCTGCATCCTTGCGTAACAACTTCGTCATGGGCGCCATGAGCGACCCGAAGCCCTCGTTAAACCGACGGTAATAGCCGGCGAGATGTACGAACCGCTTGACTTCAATGGCGTCCACCGGCCTCGGAAAGTCTTGTACCGCCGTCACCAGACGCTCCAGTGGTCGCACCCCATCGGAACTGAGCTCGTGTCCCAAGTACTCCATCTTTCCTGTCGCGAACATACACTTCTTCAATTTTAGCGTTAATCCAGCCGCCGCCAAACGTTCTAACACGCACGCGACCTCCACCACATGTCGTTCAATGCCTCCTCGCGTGAAGACGACAATATCATCCAAGTAGACAAGGCAAATTAACCACGTAAGCCCCCCTTGCACGCTGTTTATCATGCGCTGAAACGTAGAGGGCGCATTCGTTAACCCAAATGGCATCCGCACGAGCTGGTACAGCCCCTGCTTGTGGTGAAGGCGGTCTTGGGCCGGTCGGCCTCGGCGACCCGAATCTGCCAATACCCCGCCTTCAGATCCAGCGTCGTAAACAGCACCGCACCGCCTAAGGCCTCCAAGGTCTCGTCTATTTGTGGCAAAGGATAAACGTCCTTCTTCGTCACCTTATTAAGCGCTCGATAATCGATGCAAAAGCGCACCTCACCGTCTTCTTCTTCCTCTTTGCCTTTAGCCTCATCATCCCATGCTTTCTCGTCTCTACTCTCTGTTCTCGTTGCTATCACCACCCTGCGTGGCTTCCATTTGGGCCGGCAGCGTTTGTGGGAGATCCTTCCTGGGTTTTGCAAACGCTGTGGTTCCCCCCCAAGGGCTTTCCGCCCCTTATTTTTCCCCCGGGTTCCTTTCCCTCTTCTCTTGAGAATTTCTACAGGGGGTACTCCTTTAGGGGCCCCCGCCCTTTACTTTTCTGATCAGGACATTCACGTGCGAAATGTCCAGGTTGGTCACACGCGAAGCACTGGGGTGGGTTCGGGTAGTGTGGCCTGATATGTCCGGGTTGCCCACAGCCGAAACAAACAACAGCACCACCTCCCTGGGGTGCCCCCGCCGCCGCGGCGCCGCCGTCACTCCCCTTCAAATGCCTCACTGCCGCCTTCGTCTTCTTCTTCACGGGTTGTACGTCCGAGTCGTCACCGCTTGAGTCCCGTTCTCGCTGGTGCCGTCCCTTTCGGTCCGCCGCCCACTGGGCCGAACTGCTGCGATTGCTTCTTCCCGCT